GCTTTGCCTAAAGGTCAAGCCATTGACCTAGGATCATGCAAAAAATTAGCCAGATATACTGAGCTTAAGTACCCTAAAGTCTGCGTTGAAATGACCCTCTGTTTTTCCCATAAAATACAAAGAATATATAGGGAAATACAACTGGTCAGTTTTGACCGCTTTACGAAGTTTTCCCAGATATGCCGAGTTTTTTATGACACCCCTAGGTGTTCTTCTACCACCTCAAAAAATATCAAGGGGGGTCGTCGGAGGAAATGTTTTTTCGTAATAGAGCTCATATAAAGATAATTTCACTCGCGGTCACTTTTTAGCCCTCGTCGAGGTCTTTGAGTGTAACCGACAGTTTTCCCTAAAGGTCAAGCCATTGACCTAGAAGCATGCAAAACATTAGCCAGATATAATGAGCTTAAGTACCCTAAAGTCTGCGTTGAAATGACCCTCTGTTTTTCCCATAAAATACAAAGATTATAAAGGGAAATACAACTGGTCAGTTTTGACCGCTTTACGAAGTTTTCCCAGATATGCCGAGTTTTTTATGACACCCCTAGGTGTTCTTCTACCACCTCACAAAATATCAAGGGGGGTCGTCGGAGGAAATGTTTTTTTCGTAATAGAGCTCATATAAAGATAATTTCACTCGCGGTCACTTTTTAGCCCTCGTCGAGGGCTTTGAGTGTAACCGACAGTTTTCCCTAAAGGTCAAGCCATTGACCTAGGATCATGCAAAAAATTAGCCAGATATACTGAGCTTAAGTACCCTAAAGTCTGCGTTGAAAGGACCCTCTGTTTTTCCCATAAAATACAAAGATTATATAGGGAAATACAACTGGTCAGTTTTGACCGCTTTACGAAGTTTTCCCAGATATGCCGAGTTTTTTATGACACCCCTAGGTGTTCTTCTACCACCTCACAAAATATCAAGGGGGGTCGTCGGAGGAAATTTTTTTTCGTAATAGAGCCCATATAAAGAGAATTTCACTCGCGGTCACTTTTTAGCCCTCGTCGAGGGCTTTGAGTGTAACCGACAGTTTTCCCTAAAGGTCACGCCATTGACCTAGGAGCATGCAAAAAATTAGCCAGATATAATGAGCTTAAGTACCCTAAAGTCTGCGTTGAAATGACCCTCTGTTTTTCCCATAAAATACAAAGATTATATAGGGAAATACAACTGGTCAGTGTTGACCGCTTTACGAAGTTTTCCCAGATATGCCGAGTTTTTTGTGACACCCCTAGGTGTTCTTCTACCACCTCACAAAATATCAAGGGGGGTCGTCGGAGGAAATTTTTTTTCGTAATAGAGCTCATATTAAGAGAATTTCACTCGCGGTCTCTTTTTCGCCCTCGTCGAGGGCTTTGAGTGTAACCGACAGTTTTCCCAAAAGGTCAATCCATTGACCTAGGAGCATGCAAAAAATTAGCCAGATATACTGAGCTTAAGTACCCTAAAGTCTGCGTTGAAATGACCCTCTGTTTTTCCCATAAAATACAAAGATTATATAGGGAAATACAACTGGTCAGTTTTGACCGCTTTACGAAGTTTTCCCAGATATGCCGAGTTTTTTGTGACACCCCTAGGTGTTCTTCTACCACCTCACAAAATATCAAGGGGGGTCGTCGGAGGAAATTTTTTTTCGTAATATAGCCCATATAAGGCGCCGGTCAGTCGAGGTCAGCTTTGACCCCCTGTCCGTAGACTTTTCGGCCAACCGTCACCGGCCCTCGTGTTCTATCGCCCCAAGGCACCTTCGTGCCAAATTTGACGCGCCTGCGGCGCCGGGAAGTGCCCTATCGGGCACCCGACCACTTTGCTTTATATATCGATGGTCTCGGTCGCAAACCGTCTAACTCAAAAATATTCGATTTTCTTTTTTTTGCATAAATCAAAAGCCAATATGATTCCCCATAATGCCTGAAAATATTAGAGAAATCTGTAGAATGATTATTGAGATATAATCATTTGAACAAACCGCCTATTATTTCTAGCGCTAAAAATCTCGGCGCAAAACGAATATCGCTATATTTGTCAGTACACTTTTGATCGGGAACGCAGTCACACGCCGCAATCACACAATTTTACAGCACAGCAGTCACAGTACTTATAGGTAAGGATATTTGATTAATTATGTTCAACTATTCTATTACATTTTATCATTTTAAAGAATAATAAACAAATAGTATTTGTTTAATATAGCCTATTTCCCGATTGTCAATAACCAAACAATAACCAAACTGATTTGTTTACAATTTTTTAGGCTAACACAATGCTTTGAACTAGATCTTCATTCTAGAATCTAAATATCAATCAAAACATTATAATTCGAATTATATTTCCACAAGAATGTGCAATAAATTTAATAATTGTTAATTCACTACTAGCTTTAGATTGAGGGTTTAGATACGTGTTAAGAAATGTTTATATGGTAGGTTACAAAATTTTTGGCCTACATGTTCAACGGCATGGTTAGTTGTCTTTAGTAAATGCTTTTATGATTAATTTTTCAACAGACAAGCCTATCTCAACACACCAGCCTCTCACAACTGACCAGTCTTACCACATAACAGACCAGCCTCTTCCAACACACCAGCCTCTCCCAACAGACAAGCCTCTCCCAACAGACCAGCCTCTCTTAACAGATCAGCCTCTCTTAACAGATCAGCCTCTCTTAACAGACCAGCCTCTCTCAACAGACCAGCCTCTCTCAACAGACCAGATTCTCTCAACAGACCAGCCTCTCTCAACACACCAGTCTTACCACATAACAGACCAGCCTCTCTCAACAGACCAGCCTCTCTTAACAGACCAGTCTCTCTCAACAGATCAGATTCTCTCAACAGACCAGCCTCTCTCAACACACCAGTCTTACCACATAACAGACCAGCCTCTCTCAACAGACCAGCCTCTCTTAGCAGACCAGCCTCTCTCAACAGACCAGCCTCTCTCAACAGACCAGATTCTCTCAACAGACCAGCCTCTCTTAACAGACCAGCCTCTCTCAACAGACCAGCCTCTCTCAACAGACCAGCCTCTCTCAACACACCAGTCTTACCACATAACAGACCAGCCTCTCTCAACAGACCAGCCTCTATCAACATACCAGCCTCTCTCAACACACCAGTCTTACCACATAACAGACCAGCCTCTCTCAACAGACCAGCCTCTATCAACATACCAGCCTCTCTTAACAGACCAGCCTCTCTCGACAGGCCAGCCTCTCTCAACAGACCAGCCTCTCTCAACAGATCAGCCTCTCTCAACAGACCAGCCTCTCTTAACAGATCAGCCTCTCGACATACCAACTTCTCTCAACAGACCAGCCTCTCTTAACAGATCAGCCTCTCTCAACAGACCAGCTTCTCGACATACCAGTCTCTCTCAACAGATCAGCCTCTCTCAACAGACCAGCCTCTCTTAACAGATCAGCCTCTCTCAACAGACCAGCCTCTCGACATACCAGTCTCTCTCAACAGATTAGCCTCTATCAAAAGACCAGCCTCTCTCAACAGACCAGCCTCTCTCAACATACCAGCCTCTCTCAACAGACCAGCCTCTCTTAACAGATCAGCCTCTCAACATATCAGTCTCTCTCAACAGACCAGCCTCTCTCAACAGACCAGCCTCACTCAACAGACCAGCCTCTCTTAACATACCAGCCTCTCTCAACATATCAGTCTCTCTCAGTCTCTCTCAACAGACCAGCCTCTCTCAACAGACCAGCCTCTCTCAACAGACCAGCCTCTCAACATATCATTCTCTCTCAACAGACCAGTCTTACCATACAAGACACCAGCATCTGTCAACTGGCAAATCGTAAAGGCACCAGCAACTCTCAACAGACCAGTCGTAACATTAAGGCACCAGTAACTAACAAGAGACCAATCTCTTAGCAGACCAGTCGTAATATACAAAAGACCAATCTCTCTCAACTGACTCAACTGAGTTTCTTCCAGGCATCTCTTCGGGGGAGGGCAAAGCCCCCCCCCCCCCCCGGAAAAATTGTTACCGCCCCCCCTCCCCGAACGAAATGAAAGTTATATAATTTATATAGAAAATATATACTTTTAACAGTGTCCGCCCCTCGAAGGAAGTCTACCGACCCCCCGAAAATTTCAAGTTCCCCTCCCCCCCCCCGGAGATTAAAAGTCTGGAAGAAACACTGGACCCTATATTTATGATCCAAGTGCAGGCAATGTAAACATTTAAATAACTCACTTTTAGAAAACTACGTCACGCGTCTAAGAATATAGGATTGGTAACGCATGGATGAAACCCTTCTTAAACATTTCGTCGGATTTTCTTCTAATCCCGCAGCAACGCGCAGGGACGGATACGCTAGTATATATATATATATATATATATATATATATATATATATATATATATATATATATATATATATATATACCATAAAACACTATTACAAGAATACTTAGCGCACTCATCACTACTAAAATATACGTCTTTTTAAATTCCAGAAGATATTGAATTTTATTTCTATAGAATAATCGATAAATGAGTTACTTTTTATTTCTTTATAGTCTGATTTAATTTAACTATAAAAAAGTAAAAAAAAAGTTCACTTTTCAACCTGACGGACTATAGGGCAAGTGAAGTAGAGTTCACTTGTTTCTGTGACCTAGGTATATAAAGATAGTGTGGTCAGCATTTTCCCCAGCCGCCATTACTTTCCCTAACGGGACCATTAGAGTTGGGTGGACTCAGGGACGGTCAACTGACTTGAACCCGGATTCGAGCTCCAAACTTACACAGCACTTAATCTTTACATCACTTCATTTAATTTAGTACAAATGTAAAAACCGCTCTATGATTTAACTGCAATTTAAAAAAGAATTAGGACATAGTACTTTCGCTAAAAGATGACACATGTCACGTACACACAGCTGCAGTTTAAAGAGCATAAGAAATAAAAACTTCATAAAAGGGTTACACAAATTAATGATTTAAATTTTTAATATGAGTAATCTGTTATTGAATAACTCACGGATGTGTTTAAAACCAGTGCAGCAGATGTATATTTAGTAATTAAATGACATTATCTTTCGTTTAGGTTTACTTAGTTAACTGAATACTTTTCTGCTAAGCTCTTATCCACTCCAGTTCAGTTCAGTCCAGTCCAGTCCACTCCACTCCACTCCACTCCACTCCACACTCCTTTCCTCTCCTCTCCTCTCCTCTCCTCTCCTCTCCTCTTCTCTTCTCTCCTCTCCTCTCCTCTATTCTCCTCTCCTCTCCTCGCCTCTCCTCTCCTCTCCTCTCCTCTCCTCTACTCTACTCTACTCTACTCTACTCTACTCTACTCTACTCTACTCTACTCTACTCTACTCTACTCTACTCTACTCTACTCTACTCTACTCTACTCTACTCTACTCTACTCTACTCTACTCTACTCTACTCTACTCTACTCTACTCTACTCTACTCTACTCTACTCTACTCTACTCTACTCTACTCTACTCTACTCTACTCTACTCTACTCTACTCTACTCTACTCTACTCTACTCTACTCTACTCTACTCTACTCTACTCTACTCTACTCTACTCTACTCTACTCTACTCTACTCTACTCTACTCTACTCTACTCTACTCTACTCTACTCTACTCTACTCTACTCTACTCTACTCTACTCTACTCTACTCTACTCTACTCTACTCTACTCTACTCTACTCTACTCTACTCTACTCTACTCTACTCTACTCTACTCTACTCTACTCTACTCTACTCTACTCTACTCTACTCTACTCTACTCTACTCTACTCTACTCTACTCTACTCTACTCTACTCTACTCTACTCTACTCTACTCTACTCTACTCTACTCTACTCTACTCTACTCTACTCTACTCTACTCTACTCTACTCTACTCTACTCTACTCTACTCTACTCTACTCTACTCTACTCTACTCTACTCTACTCTGCTCTGCTCTACTCTGCTCTACTCTGCTCTGCTCTGCTCTGCTCTGCTCTGCTCTGCTCTGCTCTGCTCTGCTCTGCTCTGCTCTGCTCTGCTCTGCTCTGCTCTGCTCTGCTCTGCTCTACTCTGCTCTGCTCTGCTCTGCTCTGCTCTGCTCTGCTCTGCTCTGCTCTGCCCTGCTCTGCTCTGCCCTGCTCTGCCCTGCTCTGCCCTGCTCTGCTCTGCTCTGCCCTGCTCTGCTCTGCCCTGCTCTGCCCTGCTCTGCCCTGCTCTGCCCTGCTCTGCCCTACCCTGCCCTGCCCTGCTTTGCTTTGCTCTGCTCTGCTCTGCTCTGCTCTTCTCTGCTCTGCTCTGCTCTGTTCTGCTCTGCTCTGCTCTGCTCTACTCTACTCTACTCTACTCTACTCTACTCTACTCTACTCTACTTTACTCTATTCTATTCTATTCTATTCTTTCTATTCTATTCTATTCTACTTTGCTCTGCTTCTCACTATTCTACTTTACTCTACTCCACCACGCTCCACTCCGTCCCACTCCGCCCTAACTTCAATCCACTCTACTCTGTCTAACTTTTTTTTGTACTTCATTTATCTACAGGTTTTTTTTTTTATATTCTTAAACGGAAATCCTGCTACGTTTAATTCAAGTGGCAAACAAACGCTGTTCCACTAAGGGTAAGCTTTTATTCTATATATTGCAAAGCTAACAGGCTTCTTGAATATTCGTTAAGCAATTTGTTTTTTCAGCAAACGAATGTGTATATTTTAGATTTTCTCTTTACGTATGTCCAATATTGCTGCCTGGTATGTTGCTTTGTATTTTAGCACAAAAATCAATCAATAACTCTGAAAATTATATTACTTTTTGTTAAATTTAATCGATTATTTGTAGCTGAACTTAATTAATCTTTATTATATATATATATATATATATATATATATATATATATATATATATATGGTTCCATGACAAATGATCTCAGGACAAATGATCTCAGACAAAATATCTCAGACAAAATATCTCACGGACAAATGATCTCAGGACAAATGATCTCAGGACAAATGATCTCAAGGACAAATGATCTCACGGACAAAAGATACCAGGACAAAATATATCAGGACAAATGATGTCATGGACAAATGATCTCAGACAAAATATCTCAGACAAAATATCTCACAGGGAAATTTTAATAGTATATACGATGATTTTAGTTGATTTGAACTTTTTAAAAAAATTAACAGTTAATATCGGTTGTTTACTTTTTTACGCATAAAAATTGTAAATAAATTGAATTTGTGAAACCTAATAAGACATCAAAAGATTTATTAAACTTTGTCATAGCGTTTGATTCGAAAAAAATTATAACAAACTTACTCTTTAGACTGAAAGGTATAATAAATGATAAATAAAGTAATGGTTGTTATACAACATTAAGGTTCAAAACACGCGAAATATTTATCAAAAATATGAATGGGTCTTCAGGTTCGTAACGTTAAACTATTGTTTTTATTGCATCATCAGCACAAACATAACGTTTACGTTTCTTCGCTGGCACGTACATCAATATGATCACACCTCTCCAATACTATGTGATCATGTATTGTGTGAACTCTTGCTCGACATGTTCGCTGTTTGTTTAAATAAGCATTTGTCACCTGATCACTAAGGTGTGACCGACGCATAACTATTGACTGTTGATGCTAGTTGTATTGTCCATGGAAGGCGGATGTTTTTCCCTTAAGGCATGTCTCTGCTATCAAAGCAGGCGGCGACCTTGATACGAAGGTGTGTCTTTATTGTTATTTCATCCCCTTTGATCTAGTTTCGTCTACCTGACGTGGTACAATTGTCTCATGTTTGGCAAGCTCACCTACGCTGTCTATCGAAAAAAATCTTTAATCTTCGTATACTATATTACTAATACTAACTTTAAAATGTTTAGTGCAAAATAACAAATTTATACGCCAAACAATTATTATATAGGCCTATAAACAATATTAAAACATAATAAACAAAACCATATGACAATCAATAAAAATAAAATTCAGATCAACTAAAATCATCAACTACACTATTAAAATTTAGGTGTGAGATATTTTGTCTGAGATATTGTGTCTGAGATCAATTGTCTGTGGTATCATTTGTCCTGGTATATTTTGTCCTGGTATCTTTTGTCCGTGAGATCATTTGTCCGTGAGATCATTTGTCCTGGGATCATTTGTCCTGAGATCATTTGTCCGTGAGATATTTTGTCTGAGATATTTTGTCTGAGATCATTTGTCCTGAGATCATTTGTCCTGTCACCATATATATATATATATATATATGTATATATGTATATATAATATATATATATATATATATATATATATATATATATATATATATATATATATATATATATATATATATAGGTTTTCAAAATCATTCGAGAATTTAAATACTTAATTATTTAGTGATGGCTAAGGTGTGGAGTGCTTAATTTTGAATAGTAATGCTTATTTTAGAGAAAATGTTGTTGTTGTTGTTAGTTGTTTAAAGTCCGTTTTCAGAGAAAATAGTGGAAAGTTCGCAATGTATGGAATTAGAACTACAGAGGTTCCATGAATAGAATATATCATAATTTATATTACTTTGACTTTTAAAATTAATTTGTTTATTGAATTAGGGTTTATTGAATTAGGATACGTTCCTTAATTAACAAGTTAATTTTTTACTGAAGCAAATGCTATACTTCGTCATTTTCTTTTTATGTTTAAAATAGTATACAATTGTTTAAAAAATAATTATTTTTAAAAAGTTACCTCCCTTGAAATTGAACGAATGACGTCTTTCTTTGTTTACTTTTTCACAAACAATTGTTTATAAGAAAATACGTCATCTGGTCAAATCTAACGACCCTAATGGGATTTTTCAACGGGAATAATGTTTCTTTATTATCCTTTACGAAGTTTTCCCGGATATGGTGAGTTTTTGTGTTCTCCTACCACCTCACAAAATATCAAGGGGGTTCGTTTGGCAAATATTTTTTTTCCTTATACAGCTCATATAAGAAGATTTTCACTCGCTGACATCTTTTAGCCCTCGTCGAGGGCTTTGAGTGAAACCGACATTTTTCCCGAAAGGTCAAGTCATTTACCTAGGAGCGTGCAAAAACATTTAGCCAGATATACTGAGTTTAAGTACCCTAAAGTCTGCGTTGAAATGACACTGTTTTTCCCATAAAATACAAATATTATATAGGGAAATACAACTGGTCAGTTTTGACCCCTATACGAAGTTTTCCCGGACATGGCAAGTTTTTTGTGACACCCCTAGGGGGGGGGGGGGGTTCTTCGGCAAGAAATTTTTTCCTTATATACCTCATATATGGAGATTTTTACTCGCAGTCATCTTTTAGCCCTCGTCGAGGGCTTTGAGTCAAACAGTCAGTTTTCCCTAAAGGCCAAGCCATTTACCTAGGAGCATGCAAAAAAATTGCCAGATATACTGAGTTTAAGTACCCTGAAATCCGCGTTGAAATGACCCTCTGTTTTTACCATAACATACAAAGATTATATAGGGATATACGACTGGTCAGTTTTGACCCATTTCCAGATTTTTTTCTGACACCCCTCGGCGATTTCCTACCACATCACAAAATATCAAGGGGGATCGTTCGGCAAAAGGTTTTTTCGTAATATAGCCCATATAAGGCGCCGGTCAGTCGAGGTCAGTTTTGACTCCCTCTCCACGGACATTTCGGTAAACCGTCAGCGGTTCTCGTCTTCTATCGCCCCAAAACGTCATCGTGCCAAATTTGACGCGCCTGCATTACTACACCTCTCATCACATCGCCATAAAACTTTGGGAAGTTGTTGAGAATATACTTGGGGAGGTTTCTGTGGAAATTTTTTTTCAAATTCGCAGGGGTGGCGCCCCGGGAGGGCGCGATTTGTTTTTCTCTATATACGGTATATAAAAATAAAAGTCGATTTTGGTTTGACACCATTCATCTGATCGCTATCAAGCTTTGGTGAGTTCATTAGAACACTTTAGGAAGGGTTCTGTAAATAAAACATTTTTAATTTCACAAGGGCGGCTCCACGGGAGGGTGTGATTTTTCTCTATATACTGTAAATAAAAATAATAAAAGTGAATTGCCGTGACAACGTTCACATGACCGCCATGAAACTTTGGGAAGATGTTGAGAATATTCCTGGGGAGGTTTCTGTGCTAAAAACATTTTCAAATTCGCAGGGACGGCGCCCCGGCAGGGCTCGATTTGTTTTTTTCTCTATACACGGTTTATAAAAACAAAAGTCTATTTCGGTTTCACACCGTTCATCCGTGTACCATGAAACGTAGGGCTTTGCAAAAATAAAAAAATGTAATATTGCAAGGGCGGCGCCCCGAGGGGAGCGATTTTTTTCTCTATACACGGTATATAAAAATTTTCACACCGCTCATCCGTGTACCATGAAGCTTTGGGGAGATGATTAGATCACTCAATGGTAAGGTTCTGAAAAAAAATTAATATTGCAAGGGCGGCGCCCCCGGTGGGAGCGATTTTTTTCTCTATACACGGTATATAAAAAAACTCGGATGCGATTCATCCGAGTGCCATGAAACTTTAAGGAGTAGATGAGAATACTCCAGAGAATATTTCTGCGAAAAAGAAAACTAAAGTTTCTTATGGGCGGCGCCATGTAGGGTACAATTTTCGTCAATACACGGTTTGGCGCCCAAAGTTTTAGAGCGACTAAGTTGGCCCTTAGCATCCGTTAATCGAGCGTCCTGCATAGCGAGTAAGGGGTACTACTATATTCAGCGGTAAAACTACAACAGGCTTCTAAAAATAACTTTGTAACGCGAGGAAATCCTGTACAGTTTCGTCACCTTACGAAAGATGAAAAAATAACTTTTTGAATATGAGGAGCCTACTGTAGAGTTTCGTCACTTTGCGAATGATGCAATAAGCATCTATTATTAGACGATCCAGTCAGAAATTGAGATCGAGTATCTAATAACAGACCATTAGTAACGATAGCTTCCGAAGAGCCTGGTACGTCGGACTCCCAAGTCCCCTACATAATAGCGTGGGGGAGGTGAGGTGCAAGACTGCCGGGAACCAAGAAGGGTTTGGTCTCGACCCTAACCAGATACCTTGACTTTAAGCTGCGGCCTTCACGTGGCTTCGGAAGAGTGCCACTAGTCGGACCAAGCTCATGACCCCCATAGTGGGTGCGGAATGGCTAGTGGTAGCCAACAGCAGCTAGAGTAGAACTGCTGTATGTGCTAAGTTCAAAGAATGGCCGAACGCCCCCCCCCCCCCACGATCAAGCCGGGTACCAGGCGGTAGGACGACGTCCTCACGTCCCGCGTCTGGTGGGCGGGGAAGGAAAGCCCGGTGAGAGCCCACGGAAGTAGCGACGGATGTGTGGGAAACTTGGTCATATGGTAGGGTTTGCCACACTGAGGCCTGCCTGGCTAATGGAAGTGAACCTTCTGAGCCGGTTTCCGTATAGAAAGAAAAGAAAAGAAAGAAAGTAACGCTAGCATATTGCATCAGTCACACTGATGTTTAAAACACGTCAAGTAATTTTTT